TGCTAATTCTGATTAAGCCACCATATGATGCAGATTAAAGCAAAGTTTTCCAGAATGTATTCTATAGAACATTACTCTGGGAGATGGTGATGGATATTGCCATTCAGGAAGGGGGAGTAGATCTTAAATTTGTTGATTAATTTATTTATTGACCAAATAAGTTTGGGAAATGCTGCATTCTTTATTCCATTTATACAATAGTGTTTCTCAAATTCCTTTGGGCACAGAACTTTTATTCACAATCTTGTTGAATTGATAAAGACCAGTTTAGGAAAAGCTAAGTGTGTTTTTGCTTCACACTAAGTGCAGTCATAGGTATGTAACAGTTGCTTCCATCCATAGACTTAGTCAAATCAAATTAATTATTATTTTAAAATTTTAATTTGGCTTTTTAATTTAGTGTATGTATTAATTCAGGACTAACTGCTACAGCATGAAATCCTAAAATTTGAGTGGCTCAACAGAATAGAAGTATATTTCTTGCTCACACCACAGTCTAATGAAGATAATTGGAGTTGAGGAGGGTACAAGGAGAGTCTCTTCCACACAGTCATTCAGGAATCCAGTCCTCTTCCATTGTGTGCTTCTGCCATCTCCCAAAGCTTTGGAATTTTGCACTGCATCCTTTGCACCCAGCCAGCAGATGGGAGAAAGTGGAGAATTTTGCAGGGTCAAGGTTGGACATGGGCTATATCACTTTTGCCCATATCCCATTGGCAAGTACTAGTTGTATGCCTACCTAGCTGCAAGAGAGCTAGGAACCATAGTTTTTAAATGTGCTCAGTGAAATAAGCCAGACAGAGAAAGACAAATACTGCATGGTTTGACTTCTCTGTGTAATCTTACAAGAAGTCAAACTCAGAAACAAAATGGAATGATGATTGCTCCAGACTGGGAGGTGGGGGGAATGGGAAAAGGTTAGTAAAGGGGTGGAGAATTTCAGTCTTAAGATAAATAAAGTCTGAGGGGCTAATGTATACTGTGGTGACTGTAGCTGATAACACTATATTTTATAATTGAAATTGACTAAGAGAATAGAACTTAGGTATTCTCATTTTTTAAAAGATAAATATGTGATGTGATGGATGTGTTAATTAACTTGATTGTGAGAATCCTTTCACAGTGTGTACATTTATCAAATCCTCACATTGTACACTTTAAATATGTTCCAGTTGTATTTGTCAGTTATACCTCAGTAAAGCTAGAAAATGTGCTCAGGAGAACGCGGAAATGGGTTTTCTCTTTAGTGTAATTTATCTTAAGTAATTTGAGGACATTTCAGATTAAGTTATTTCAAATAACTTGTTACTGTCCTTGGACACCAAAAAGCCCTTGAAATTTATTCTATTTTGTGGATCGCTCCTAGCATTCCACTTTCTTCTCCTCCGTCATCATCTTCATTATTGTTATTGTTAACATGTTATTTGAATTAGAGTTTGATCTCTTCATTGGCTCTTTAAATGTCTGTTGTTCTTTATCATTGTTTCGTATGATGCAGCAAGTTTTCACAGTTGTGAACTTCCCACAGAAGTCATACCCTTTACTAGGATTAGTAAGTGGGATATTTGAAAGTCACTACAGCACAGCATGGAGATTTGGTTTATTTCAGTGTAGTCAGCAGTTAAGTCATTGCTAAGATTTCCTGACCCTCTTTAGATCAAGGACTTTTTGTCATCATTTAAAGACTCAGAGAAGCCCACATTGGTTTTCAAAGTTGGGTTTTTCTTACCTAATGTAACGAGGTATCTGAGCATACCAAACTTGAGACTGCAGAGGAAGTACAGGAACGTTGCTAGTTTCTACAGGAAGGGGCAGATATTCAGACACAGACTGGACCTTGGAACTGAGCTGGGCCACCATTTACTGTCCAATGCTAAACTTCTCAGACCTCACTCAAAACATTTATTTTAAATAGCTGCAGCATTCTTGGGTAGACACTGTCAGCATCAGAAGAGACTCATAGATTTTAGTGAGGAAATTGTGTTCAAAGTTCCCTTTGGATTTTTATGAATTATAAACTTAAAGAAGTACCTGTACTGTCAGCATCTGCCCTGTCAATGCATCTCGATTTGAAAAGGGGCTGGCGGACTGAAAATGAGCTGTGCCCAGTAAAAAGGCAGCATGTCTACAGAATTTTATAGGCAGGCACTACACATGAACCCCAGAACTCTCCTGAAATAACGACTATAAGGCCAGCCCTGGGCAGTGTTGGGATGCATTTGGTTCTGAAAATCCAAACTGAGCCATTTTTCAGTGAAAGTTTAATCACCATGAATGATATAAGCCATCATTAGACTATGCCCTCATGATCTACGACCCTTAAAGCTTAAGCTCTTGTTTCAGAGTTACCAGGCTACATTTCAGTAATGTGATCCATGAAGTATTCAAGTGGCTGCCATTTAGAGAAATCTAACCATTTTTAAAAAGTTAAATCTTTAAATGCTTATGGTATGCATAAAAAAGGGATCATTTCATCATTCTAAGTGAAGTAAGCCAGAAAGAGAAAGAAAAATATACCATATAATATCACTCATATGTGGAATCTAAAAAAAGAAAGAAGACACTAATAAACTCATCTACAAAATAGAAACAGACTCGCAGATATAGTAAACAATCTTATGGTTACCAGAGGGAAGGGAGTGGGTAGGGATAAATTTGGGAGTCTGAGATTTGCAAACATTAACTACTATATATAAAAATAGATTTTAAAAGTTTCTTCTGTATAGCACAGGGAACTATATTCAGGATCTTGTAATAACCTTTAATGAAAAAGAATATGAAAATGAATATATGTGAATATATTTACATATATGCATGACTGGGACATTATGCTGTACACCAGAGATTGACACATTGTAACTGACTATGCTTCAATTTTTTTTTAATCACAATAAAAAAAATTCACAAGGTAGTATATAAAGATATAAATACATTAAAAAGATCACAGTATGACCAACTCTTGAGAAGAAGCTTTTCAAACTTTGACCATTCATTTTTCTTTCTTCTGATGTTCCATATCCCATGCTTGGATTTGGATTGTTTTGTTTTGCAGAATCAATGTTGGCTCCTTTATAGGATTCCAAGTAGTGACACCTAGTGGCCTAGCTTTGTGGCCCATGGCTTGACTGTTACTTAATCTCACTGAGCCACTTCATGAAATATCTTTATTATATTTAAATAATTCCTGTTAATTCATTAACACTCAAAATTGATAAATTTAAGGCCATAATTTTTAACCTGACCTAAAGAAACAGGATTAAGGTCCTTCGGAAGACAAAAGATTATGTAGTATTTTATTTTTTCTAGTCATGCCTTTAAAATAGTAACAAGCTCAAAATTCAAAGAAATGTTACTAGAATTTCTTTGGAAGAAACAAAACATCTGTCATATTGAAAGAATTTACATTAAAACAAAAAGAGAAAATCTGTGGTTTCACTGAGAGAGGAAATGCTTTCTGATTTAAATTCTAGTAAAATCCATCTAGTTTAATCTGTAGTTAGAAGTAGATCCAGAATGTCTAAATATTTGCTACTCAACCAGCTCCGCCTGGCACACACATGCTGCTTCTCATTTTGTGGGAAGAAATAAAGAGGCTCGAGGAGGAACTGTGCTTGGTCCAGCTTGTTCCAATATGTCTGCTTTCAGAAATTAAAAGCACTGGTACAGAGATGGTCTTGTATATGAAAAATATAGATCAATTTTAATAAAGTACAACTTGGCCTGTGTATTAGTTTGCTAAGGCTGACACAAACTGGGTAGCTTAAGATGACAAATTATTCTCTCACAGTTCTGGAGGCTAGAAGTCTTAAATCAAGGTGTCAGCAGAGGCATGCTCCCTCCAAGTCTCCAGGAAGAATCTCTCCTTGCCTCTTGTAGTTAGTTGCCTACACCTTGGCATTCCTTGGTTTGTAGCTGCATCACTCCAGGCTCTGACTCCATCTTCACGTGGCCTTTTCTTCTGTATGTGCGT